TCAGCAGTCGGTAGTCAGTCGTTAACATGAATTTATTAGCAGAGCTCTGCAAAAATTTAAATACTTTGTTGTATGCAGCAGGGAGATATGCGCCACAAAAGACATACTCATAAATGGAAATAATCCAAGAAATTCCAATGTGCGAGATCTTAAGGGCAGGGGGATGTTAAAAATGAAAAAAGAGTTTTACACTTAGCAACACTATAAATTTGTAATAAAGTGTGTTTTGATATTTATTTAGCAAAAAGTTGAGCCCAAATGAAGTGAAAATGCCCTTAGTTGTTCACAAAAATTATAGGCGATATTTTAGTTGCAACCAATGACTATTCCTTTACTTGCTGTAAAATATTATATTTGCCTTACATTCTTTATACTTTGATGAACATAATTTTCGGTACCCATATATGTACGTATATTACACGAAAAAGCAAGGCCAATTAAACAACAACGGGAGCCAAAAATATGGAAGGAGGAAAGCGCTTTTAACAGTAACTGATTTAATTTCATGCAAACCAACAACCTGACTTCCTCGCTGCCTCATTGTCTGCGCGCTGCAACGTTGGTTGTGCTACTTTTTTGTTTAATAAAATAAGTAATTTTTAATTTGAAGCCTCCTGACAGCTGGCTGTCATATAAATTTAATTGAATTTAGATTTTTATTAATTGCTTTTCTGGGTTCCAAACCACGCCAGCCAGTTGAGAGCAGCGATCACTGAAAACAATAACCTTCACTACAGTAGGAAGAAATCTTTGCCGAGGAAACGCCCTTACCACCTCGGCGTGGAGTAGTAGTTGAGTACTCATTGACTAGCTCACTGACAAACTAACTGACTAACTGCCTAACTGACTGACTGACTGACTGTCTTCCCCAGTGAGTAGTTGGCGCTCGATGAGCGACTGTCCATTTGCCTGCTTGACTGGTTGGTTTGTGCGTTTTCCTGCATTGACTCTCGAAGTGGTTGGCGTGGCAGTCCGCCCGTTTGTTTTTTTTGATGAATGAGTCAAGTTTGACTGAGGTTTACTTACCCCAAGCGCGGCTGAAATGGGTACTCAAAGGCTTGGGTATTAATGATTATTAACAGCGTTTTTGCGGTAGTTGCTGTTGCTGCTGCAGCCTCTGTTAATTTGATATTTTTTATAACATAAATGTTTTTTTTTCCACGGTTGTCTGTATCTTGTTGCCGCGTTGATTTGTTGCTGACTAATTAGTAACTAAGCATAAAATTGTTGCCATTGACCGCTAAAGAACAACAATGTACGCAAGCAAGTTATAGTGTATGCACTCGCCCGTCAGTCAGTCTGTCTATCTGTTTTCGATGATACCCGCATCCGTTTGTTTCGTTGCTGCTGTGAATGACTGCTTGATGGTGGCATTCATCGTTCTGTAGATTGATTACGTCCAGCTAATTAAAATGTGACTTGAGTTGGTATTAATTACAAATACGGCGATGGTAAATGGGAAAAATTTCACAAAATTTTTTCGTATTTCGCTAAAAATTAGCTAAATGGGCACAAGAAAAGAGTGGAAGCAAAACAAGGTAAACTGTTACGGATATTAAATGAGATGGTGACTGAAACTAAGGTGGTTGTGTTTGAGGGAAAATAAAATTAAGTAACATATCATACCAAAACATAACAAAGCATAACTTAAAATAGCATCACATAATATAATATAACTTATCATAAAATAAGTGGGGTATTTACACCTACTTGGTTTACAAAAACAAAATCCACTAGAGAATAATAATTTTTATCTAAATAACTTGAGAGCCAGTCAGGTGTGAATACGCCAAATAAAACATAGCATAACTTAACATAGCATAACATAACATAACATAACAGAACATAAAATGACATAGCACCACTTAACACATTATAATATAATATAACGTAGCACTGTAAAATGATAAAGGATCGAGAGCGCCACAACCCACCTGTGCAAATCTCATAGCGAAAGCCTTTCTGGTACTGTTCCCAACAAAGGAGGAAATGAGGAACAAAAACCTTAACCGAAACGAGTACACGATTGTATTACCCGTAACAGATGACGAGGTGGCACACTTTGGGTCGAACAAATGAAAACAAGGCTCCAGAACCAAATGGTGCTCCGAACGTAGCTTTTAAGAGTGCGGTTATGCTTAGTCCGGATCCTGGAAGGTACAACGATAAGTGCTGCTTCACACACTCGGAAAGCAACCTAATCAACCGACCGCATACAGACCTCTATGCATGATCGATCCAGTGGGGAAAATTAAAAAAAAAAATCACTTGCAATCGAGTTCAGACGTTTTTAGAATGCACGAATAGTCTTTCCTACAAATAGTTTGGCTTTCGACGGGCAAGATCTACGCTTGATGCAACAAGGGTCACTAAGACTAACATTGCAGAGCAGACGCTCAGCAGAGAGCACGATTTGATGAAGTACTGCCGCTACCACCACGTTGGACGACAAAAACGCATTAAACTAAGCAACCTGGAGTAATACTCTGTTGGCGCTTAGAAATTACCATTTGCTATGAATCAATCAACGGTATCCGTAGCGATAGGATCCTGCAGTGCGACACAGCGGAAGCTTTAAAACAACCATAGGAGGTAACAGGAGGCGTAGAATAGACCAACTAGGTTGCTTTGCATGTCTACTTATTTTAATTATCTATCTAATTACAGGAGGCATCCCAAAAGTACAATTTTTTGAGCCTACGCTTCAGAACGCCTTGTAAGATGGGCTCTTTAAACTGAGATGGCCCCATAAGGCAACAATCATAGGATACGCGGATATTTCTGCGCTGCTAGTAGTGGATAAACGACTCGAAAATCTGGAAGCCAAATGCAAGGATGCACAGATTGCTAAATGGTGCAGGACATCAGTTGGCTGTACAAAAAATGGAAGCAGTGCTGACAAGCGCAAGGAGGCAAAAAAAGAATATCAAAATCTTCCGCGTAGGGCATCAAATATGATCACAAGAAGAAATCAAATACCTGGGAGTTATAATAGATAGCAGACTAAGTTTCAAAGACCAGGTGTCAGCAGTAGGAACTAAGGCGGCACGAGTAAATAGTGCGCTCCGTGAAATTTCCTAAACACCGGTGGACCTCAGGGCGATAGGAGATCTCTCCCATACACAGTTGTGGACTCATTACTGCTCTATGGAGCTCCTGTTTGGGCTGAAGCAAAAAAGAGCTACGAGCAGCTGAACGATTCAAAAGGCACAGTGCGCTTCGAGTTGCCTGTGCACACAGAACGATATCCGAAGATGCAATTTGCGTTAATGCAGTAAAAATACCACTGGGTATTCACGCCAGAGAAAAACGATCTCTGTAAAATGGACAAGGGGCATCACCGACATGAGTTCAAAAAACATTTACGCGAAATTGGTCTATGGGGGAATGTCAAATAAAGGGAATATTTACCCGAGTGGACGCTGTATCTACAAAAGTAAGTTGAAGAGTGTATAGGTAGAAAACATTGCGATTTTGATGTCTGGCTTACCCAAATCATAAGCATGCATGGCTGTTTTCTGAAATAGGCAGACAACCCTTACTGTTAAAATTTCCCTAGTGACTAGCGAGGTAGAAAGCCCGGAACATGATGATTTCCACCGTGTCTGCCTCAAACAAGACATGTGAAAGTTTAAGGCAGAACTAAGTTAACCACTGCTCCCTTCTTTAATGAAAAAAGGGAAATAATATCTCACTAGCCTCTTCAACAATAACAATTTTATAGTAAAACATATAGAATTTTGTTGACGTCTTTTTCAGGACTAAACTGTCCTTAATCTTCTTGCTCTGGACGGCCAATTGACGAAATACCAAATCGGTGATCTTAGGAGGGCTAGAAACCGTCGGATATCGGTGTGATTTTAGTGAGTTAAAGTCCTACACTAACCAAGACTCCCCCCAGGGGACTACGTGTAAGTGGAGTTACGGGCTTGACAACCCCGGGATACTCTGGTAGAAGTCTTCGGCTTTCTAGGTCTGACCAGAGACTTGATTTTGGTACCAAAGGCAACAGTATGCCACCGGTGTGTGTTCGCGAGCGAGATGATATGTTGAGATTTGGAGAAGTTGTCTTTAGTGAGGGAAAAGCACATGGATGAATGAAGGCGGTGAGAGGTGAAGTTGTCTCTGGTTAAGCAAGATTAAGTCTGAGCAAATTGAGCAAGTGTAAGTCGAGCTTTGCCAGGGCGAGTAGAGCGTGAGAGCTTTACTCCGGTCTGTTCTTGAGTACGGCCTCTCGGGGAGTATCGAATATCGTGCTGGCTGTGATTTAACACCCAAATGCAATGGTTTAATGTGGAGTCGCACTGCAGCTGGATGCCGGACTCATATTTAGTACGGCAGAGTTTTACATGTGCCTCGAGCCCTACCAAGGCGGTTAGTGTGTCCACCCCACATTGCCAATTGGTACGGAAGTGCTTGCATTTCTGGGCGCTGATCAAGGCATTTGAATTGTTCCCTTGCGCTTTTGAGCGATGTGGAGTTAAGTCATCCTGGCAGGTATGCACGTTAAACACCGACACATCTGACCAAGACTTTCGATCGGTTTACACCTCTTCAAAAGGAACATAGCACGACATAACATAACATAAAGTAACATAATATAATGTAACATAAAGTAAAATAGCATAACATAACATAACATAACATGGCGTAACATAACATAACGTTTTTATGAAGATAAAATACTGATTCACCAAAGACAACTCTTGCGAAAAAGCAGTGGGAATACAATGCCTGGATGTGCAGGGAGATCATTCGTTCCTAAGAATAAAGTGAAAATTATTTGCTTTTTCTTGTTTTATTTCAATATATAATATCTTTATTTTGTGAATATCACAAAAACTTTATTATGCTAAAATTACTTGTTACATTTTTCAATAAAATTCAATTTTAAAAGGCTAAATAAATTTAGTAGAATCCTAATGGAATATTCAGATATTTTTTATATACTTAGTACATACTTAGAATGGAATCATTGAGCGCACTGGTTTTATGTATTCTATAATATTTAACAGAAATAATTTTTTATTTTTTTTATTCTACATACATCAAAGTGGTCAACTATTCCTTGCAACCCTAAAACTCGTCAAATACTAAAAACTGAATTTTTTGTTATTAATACATTTTCATTCCGTTGCACTGGAAATTGCTTAGAATTTGCACTGGTCCAAACAATAAATACATCTCCTTAGTTCTTTCCTTTTGCTGCCTTTCATGATATGTTAACTTTCTCTTCTTTTCCTTTCCACGCGCAATCGCCACGAAAGCTCTCCGCAAACAGCAACTGCAGCATCAACTAGCTCAGCAGATCGCCATGTCCATTCTGACGCAGCAGCTCCAATTTGAGCTCATGCTCGCGCGCCTTCAACCGCAATGCCGCAATCGACGAAGTGCGACGATCTTCCGGCGGTGTGGCTGTACGTGGCCCCGACACTGATGACGACGACGCCTGCTGATGTTGTGGCGAATGCGCCAGCTGGAGCGGCGAGTGCGAGTGACTTGTGGGTGCTGATGGCGGCGGCGGCGGCTGTTGCCCAGCCTGATGCATGCTGATCGGCATTGTGATCACAGGCGCCGATTGTGGCTGCTGTTGTGGTGGTGGTGGCCCATGTGAGTGTGCCTCTGGGGGTGGCGGCGGCGGTGCCATCGACTGCATTGTCATGGAAGTCGGCGAAATTGGTGGCGAAGACATAAGGTGATTGGGTGAATGCAGCTCCGGTGATGAAATGAGCATAGGTGACTTGGCGGCGGCGACGCTAAGTTGTGCAGATACCGGCGGATGGCGTGGCACAGCGGTCATGTTGGCCAGCAGCGTTTGGAAGGAGGTGGTGGGAGAGTACATGCTCGCCATGCTGGGCAGGAGGTGGGGTGGTGCTCTGCAAACAAAAGAAGAAGAACTATTAAGTTTAAGCTAGACAACGAAAATACTCCACATTTCCCTTACCTTTGAAATTGGTTGTAAAATCCAGATGGCAACATTGGTGCCGCCGACAGGTGCGGATAGCGAAAGGCGGCGAAATTGGCGGGACCGTCGAATGGTTTGCGCAAATTGAAGCCCAGGTGTGTGAATGGATTTGGCGGCAATGTCGGACCGTCAACGGCTTGCATGGCGCCCGGCCCACTGGGCAGATATGGGTTGCATGGATGTGATTGCGGACCCACCTTCTCCTGTTTACGCCACTTGGCGCGACGATTCTGGAACCAAACCTGTAACGGCAGCACAGAAACGAAAGCAAATTAATGAGAATGTGTATAAAGAGTATAGCAGCAGCAATAACAACAAGCAAAAATAACATACAAATAAACAGGCATAAGTGGAAATAAAAGATGCACAATTTTAATTAATGAAATCCAAAGTTGATTTAAAAAATTAAACTGCAATAGGGAATTGCGACGCCCACTTCCTGCAGCTATGCAGCTATACCGCAGCACAGCAGTCGCCGCAGCGAGTGGGCGTTGTGCCGGCGGCATTGAGATATGGCAGCGCCAACGTTTTGTAACGAGATAACAGCAAAGCAGGCAGATAGGCGGCGGCGGTTTGAAATCAACACACACACACCTCGGGGTATTTTCGATTTTGCTTGACTGTCGTGTTGCAATTTACCCAGAATCGTTTTAATTAATTCAACATCTTTTCCAACATTTATTATTAGAGCGGTCCTGTGCTCAGCGTACGGGGCTGTGGTTGTGGCGCATGCGCACAGTGGCGACATGCCGATATGAACTTATGTATGTACAAACAGGCGGTAGCTAAGTAAAGCAAATATGTGGGCGTGGCGTAGCCTCCAAAATACACGCCCAATTAATTAGTTTTGAACGAAACAATTTCAGTCATCGATTGAAAGTGGGCTTCTGCTCTCTTACCCTCTTCGGTTTTAAAATGCACTTGCGGTGGAAGGATTTTCAGCTGAAAATTTAATTTATAAGCAATTAGCAGACGAGTTGCCTTACAGATTACTACTAAGAAATATTTACATTTTAAAATTTCTTTAGAAAAGTATCCAACATTTATTGACCCAAAGCTTAATAAGATGCTAAGTCGGCCGCTGTGGTGTAGTGGTAAGCAGTGCGCGCTTCCACTCCGCTGCGCCTGGGTTCAACCCCTGGTAAAAGCAACATCGAAAAAAAATAGAAAAAAGGTTTTTTCTTCACAGCGGTCGTCCCTCGGCAGGCAATGGCAAACCTCCGAGTGTATTTCTGCCATGGAAAACAGCTTCTCATAAAAATACAATCGCCGTTCGGAGTCGGCGTTAAACTGTAGGTCCCTCCTCTTTGTGTGACAACATCAAGGCGCACGCCACAAATCGGAGGAGAAGCTCGGCCAAGCACTAACATATGTGTAAGCGCCAAATTATTATTATTATTATTATTATTAAGTCCCAGCTGAGTAAGTCTTTTGTATAGAATTCTCAAAAGAAGTAGATTTCGAGATTTTGTTTTCAAAGCAACGGAAATAGATTGTTTCGTAGGCTATGATTACGGTGACCAGATGTGGACAAAAATCGGGACATTTCTGAAGCATCGAATCTGAACATAAATTTTTTTTTATTAAATAAATAGACAAAGAGAAAAAAACTTGAAAAATGATCGCAAAAGTGTATACACACAATATGTACGGTGACGAGAATGTAAATAGGGAAAAGGCATTTTAGCAAGTTTTGGCTACTTTTTTTTTGTTTAAAAATTTTTTATTATTTATAAAAAAGCTATGTAGTAAATCAAAATTTCAAATTTCGTAGAACATTTACAAAAATTCGACGAATTTTAACAAATATTTATAAAAATTTTAAAATTTGTAATCAGATTTTTAGAACTTTGAGCATGCAGTTTGTAGCCCATTAAATTTTAGTATAACAAAGTGCAAGATCGAAGTTGTTTGCGCATTTTCTTTCATACAAAGTAGGTTGACAATTTTTTCGCATGGAGAAAATGAGCATCACCTTCCAAAAAAAAAAATTTAATGGGCTAACAAACTGCATACTCAATGCTTCTAACAAATCTAATTAAAAAGCAAAAAAATTTTGATACAAATTTTTCGAGTTTTGCTAATTTTTGTACAAAGTTTGATTTACATGGTTTTTGTTATATAACGAGCTACACTTTCCGAAAAAAATAATAAATATTAAATAATCGAAAGGGGAATAGCCAATGATTGTTTAAATGTTTCTTCCCTATTTATATTTTCGCCACTGTATCTACAGATTATATTTTTCATATCCATGAATTTTTTAGGGAATTAGTATTATTTTTTATAATTTCATAAAATTCAAGTTAGAATCGTTTCATTAAAAAAAATTAGCAAATAATTAAAAAAAACAAAAAAAAAAAAAAATATAAGAATGATGACTGCAAAAAAGCGCGAGTACCAGTTTGACAGAATAAAACATAACCATAAATCATAGAAAATAAAGATGCTGGCTATGTTTATGGCTCCCCTATATGTATGAAAGTGCCCCTATATTTGTACGAAAAATTGTTTTCGGACCAGAGTACAGGAAACCCTTGTCAAATTATTTAAGAAAACACTGAAAATCGGGATTTAAAAAAATAATCAACGACTTTTAAAAAATAATCAACTGGACAATTTTCTCAAAATCGGTACTGTCCCGCCAAAATCGGTACGAATGGTCAACGTATGATAGACTTTTGAATAAAAAAGGCACGTTTAATAATATATGTTGAAATTTAATTCAAAAATTCACGTTTTTTGAGATCTCATCATATAGTTTAAAAGCTTGATAAAGAAAATGTGTTTAATGTAATAAATGTATAATCCCAAAAATGGCGGAGATATCTTTTTATCTGTCTTTTGTATACCAACTGTATGAATTGATCAAATTTTGATTGCGTTTTACCACAAAATTTAAATTTTGTAATAATTCTTTGCATTATTAAACGTTCGAAATATCCTTTCTCCTATAGAATTTACTCATTACGAAATAACATAAAGAAGAACTACCTAACGTTAGTATGCATTCCAGGTAAGGATAGTCCTGCATGAATATCTTTTAGTCGGGTTGTTATGGACCAAAAAAAAAAGATTTTCTTCGATTACCTTTAAACTCCTTAAAATGATTGGTTAGGACCGACAAACAATTCTACTTTTGTGACAGTGAGTAAGGAAGAATGTGCTAGAAATTGTCTCTTCTAAAAGAGAAGAAAGTTTGCCCATGTCTTCCATTGTCAACTTCGAAGAAAGTTTGCCCATCCCTTTCATTGTCAACTAGGAAGAAACCTTCTGTGACGGATGTGTTAGTCTGACAGACACCGAAGTTTCGACATTTTTCCTGAATTTCAATAGCATTGATTACTAAAACGCCTATTTTTCGACATATAGTTTATTTATATGACTATTTCATTAGTGGGTATTAAAAAATGATAGATTTTAAGGTTTAAATAAAAAAAAATATTAAGAAATATCGAATAGATATATATATTCTGATCTGGAAAATTGGTGTCTGAGAGACTGCACGTCAGTGCAATATGGAAACTTCGGTCACATGAGTAGCAGAGGGTTGAAATTGAATAACATTCACCATTTCCGCCCCGCGGGCTTGCAACGAAAAGAAAAGGTTCCCCAAGGAAATCCACCAAAAAACACATTTTATATGGACCCCAAACCGCCAAAAAGATGTAAGCGAAATTTTTGATAAAAATAAATAAAAGAAAAATAAAAAAAAATTTCGCTTACCACTTTTTGGCGGTTAGGGCTCGATATCTTCTTTCAAATTCCAAAAAGA